TGAAGGGTGGAGGGGAGGGTGAGCAGAGGGAGGGGTGGCATCTCTGGCAGAGGAGTCCTCTTGCACAAAGGCCTGGAGGCAGGACTGAGGGTGCCAATGAAGAGGACCTGACATGATCCCAATGGGTTCTGCAGAGGGACAGACTCTGGCCTCACACCAAGAAACAGGGCAAGACCAGCTCAACTCTGGTGATCAGACGCAGGTGGGTGGGAAGCCTCGAGGGCCCAACCTTGCCGACAGCCTCTCCTCTGTCCCCACAATGCTGGCCCTGCCTCCTACTACTTCTGCCCACACTCTGTCTTCTCACGAAGAGACTGTTACAGCCAATGCCATGGTCCCATGGCCTTTCTAGGGTGAGAGGCAGGTCGGTGCAGACCCTCTGCGGTGGGGGCCTTCCTAGGTCAACAATTCCTCCTCCCGCAGACATCGTGTCACCCAGCTGTATTGCACTTTTATTTCCCAGGAATCCCAGGAAACTTCCTCCAGACTCCTCAGCTGGCACCCACCCCCTCACTCACTCTCCCTGTACCTTGGGGACCCCTCTGGTCCAGGCAGGCCCCTCCCTAGTGACTAGAGAAAGGGGCTCCCCTGCAGGATGGTGCTGTCGTGAGCAGAGGCTGGAGAGGGCTACAGGGGAAGGTGGTGCAGGGACAGTGGACACCACCATCTGCGGAGCCCAGAGCTCAGGAAAGCCCCTGCAGGTAGCTCTGGAGGCCCTGTGGTGCTCCTGCAGACTAGCCATTGGCCACTCTGCTGACCCTGCACTACCTAGCCTGAGCCCTCCCCCCCCCTCGGCCCTCTGTCCTGCAGCCCAGGGCCCAGGCCATTGGAGCCAGGACAGAGGGCCGTTCTCCATTCACCACAGTGGTGGCAGCGCAGGGGGCCACCTCCGTGCAGACACCTTCATGCCGACAGCACAGCCAGAGCCCTCCCCGCCCCTCCACCCAGCCCTGCTAAATGGCTACACATTGGAGGGTAAAAGCACAGGCTTTCAAGCGATTTTGCCTCCAATCTCTGGAAAGTGCTTCTCCGGCTCCTGCACGGGGATGGAGAGAAGAGTCACAGAGCCAAAGAAGCAACTGGGCCTGGCCCAGCAGCAAGCAAACATGCCAGAGGCCTTTCTCCTGAATCCCACACTGGGCCAGGGACAAAGCCATCCACACACTGCCCCCTACCCCATGGGTGTTTATTGAGCACCTACTGCGTGCCAGGCCAGCTGCTAGGAGGCACATAAACAAACAGCTGGCAGGTAAATGGGGCCACTCCCGTGGTGTTGGGGCTGCAGGGCAGTAGACCCAGGGGAGGGGGTGGCCCAGTTCATAAGCCAACCAGCCTCTGGAGGAGCTGCCATCTCATTCATTCCACTCTTTGGGCAGGGTAGAGGGCTTCCTGAGAGGCACAGGCTGGGAAGGAGCAACACTGGGGACTCAGCCACAAAACTCTGCCATGCAACCCCCCTCTGCCACCTCGGTGCTGTGGATGGCCTGGCTCCCATGACCTGGCTCCCAGCAGGGTCACCTGCCAGCCTACCCTGTAGCCAGGCTGGTAGGGCCGAGGGCCAGCCCTCAAGGTGGAGGCTGCAAGGTCTTCCTAACTGGGCCCCTCAGGCTGGCACTGGCTGCAGGTGCCCTGGTGCTAGCTCAGGAGATGGCCCGGGAACAGCTGTGGGCACATGATAGGTGAGGGTCCTCCCCAGCCTAGAATAAAGACCCTATGCTCTTAGGGGGCCCAGCAGGCATCCCCTGATCTTTTCAAAACAGGCCCGGTTAATCAATCCTTTTGGGGAGTAGGGACATGACCGGGGAGGGCTGGGCTTGCCCCGGCAGGGATGCTGGGGCCCTGAGACATTGGGGACCCACTACCTCCCTGCATCACCCATCCCAGCCTGACCCTCATGACTGGGCTTGGGGTGCAAAGAATCTTTCCACCAACACGGCAGCACACCACATCCTTGAAGCCACCCCACAAGAAGTACTCACTCTTTCCACTATCAGACACAAGAACTGGGGCTCCAGAGATGGGTTGACACACTCACACCCCACATTCAGCAGTCAGTGGGGCCAGGACTCCACCTGCCCACTCCACTAGGTTCCCCCCTGGGCGCCACGGGGCCAGCGGCATGTGAGCTGGTCCCCACAGCATTGTGCCCTTGGGGGGACCATCTCAGTGCTCCCAGGATGGGGAACAGAGTGTATCCTGAGGCATGTCCCAGGAGGGCTCCTGGGAGCCTAGGCACCGGACCTCGGTCCTATTGGGCTGACGGGAGGATGCTGCCCCCAGGAAGGCAGGCATTGTGTCCAGAGCTAGTGCTCCAGTTTGAAGTTTGTCAGACAAATCTCAGAGGGGCACAAAATTACCCTTCAAAAGAGAAAACGGCTGAACAGCTTCAGGGCAGATGATTCTCGCGGAAATGGCTGGAGGGGTGGCAGTGGGGACGGGAGTTGAGACAGCATAGGATGGCATTTCTGGATTGAGTGACTTGGCACCCACCACTTACCTTTTGTAAATATCTTCCAACTAAACGAAACCCGGACACAACTAACACCAGCCACCCTTCACTCCATTCTACACATCTGTCTCCCATTCCCTGGGTGAGGTCCTGAGGCTGCAGGGACACAGGCGGAAACAGGACAGAGACCCTGCCCTATGGGTGTTTCTGGGGGCGAGGCAGAGTGTGTGTGGCAGGGTGCAGCCACTGAGAGGAAAGACCTTGGACATGGCGTCCTGTGGAAGCCTCTGTGGGCCCAAGCAGTGAGCGGATTCAGACACCACCTCTGCTGTAAAACATGGTACCCATGGTGCCGCACAAGGACAGGGAAGGGCTTATGTTCCAGATGCAGGCTCGAACCCCATTTGCAGGTGCTGACCACCTTGAGAAGGACCCCTGTGGCTAACCCCCTGGGCCCGGGCCCATCTCCTGTTTCCTCCCATCACCCCACTTCCTCCCTGAAGGGCCCTCAGGGAAAGTCAGAAGCATCAGACTTTTATTTGGGGAAACTGGTTGTAGAGTAGTCTGTTGAACAAGTGAGTGGGCAGCAGCGCACGGTCCTCACTGGGACCCCTGCAGTCAGCAGGGCGGGGTGGCTTCCAGAGCACCCAGCCTCTTAGCTGCCATCACTCAGAACACAGAATTGTCCTGAACTAGCTGGCCTGTTCTCTGCACTGACCAGAGGCTGGTGACTGGTGCAGGTCCAGCAGTCTCTTTGGTCCCTGAAGTGACAGTGCAGTGGGGACCTAGCCCATGTCGGCAAAGACATGGCCCCGCATCTCCTCTCGGAGTCCAGCCACCCTGAGCTCAGTTAATAACTCGCAGATGAGCGTCAGAAGCTGTGTCCCTGGACCGGATATTGGGTGCATTCAGTCGTGAAGCCGACGCCACGTTCAGCTCCCAGAACTTGGAGAGGTCTGGGGACAACAGGGGAGGCACCTCACTGCTCAGACAGCATCTGAGCAGAGAGTGGTGCCTGCAGATGCCGCCTAACCCCAGTCGCTCTGTGGGGCATGGTGACAACTGAGGACCCGCAGATCCACCTGTGACAGCTGCTCATATGCAGGCTGGCACTTAGGAATCGGACTGGTGCCTTTGGCTCTGGTGCCGTTGTAGTCTCCCGGCACACGTGGCAGCCTAGTTCCCTACTACTCAGGGCACTAATTACAGGGGGGAGCCCACCTCAGCGTGCCAGAGAGCAGGCTGCTGGTGCAGGAACACCAGGAGCAGGCTGCCAGGGAGTTGCAGGGTGTCCCAAGCTGAGCAGGAAGGCGCTACTTGCAGCTCCAACCATGAAGAGCCGCGTGCTACCACCTGAGTGGCTGGCGGCCCTGGGCCAGCTCGGTGGCCACGTGCTGGTCATGCAGCTCCTTGATGCGCAGCAGCAGCTCCTCCAGGTTCTCACCAGTGACCGCGGACAGGGCGATGGCCTTCCTGCCCAGGTGAGCCTGCAGTGCGGGCAGGTTGGCTCGCGCCTGAGGGAGGTCGATCTTATTGGCAACAACAACGTGGGGTCGCTCAGACAGGCCTGGCTTGTACTTTTCCAGCTCGTACTTCAGGTCCTCGATCTGGGTCCAGGGCTCTGGCACCGCCAGGTCCACCACGAACAGGAGGAAGCCACAGCGCTCTATGTGCCTCAGGAAGGCCAGCCCCAGGCCCCGGTTCTGGTGCGCACCTCGGATGATGCCTGGCACATCGGCCACTGCAGGAGACAGAGCAGGGGCCCATTCTGCGAGGTTTAAGACTTTCCTTTGAAGGAACACCTTAAACCCAAGTCGCATGCATCACTGCTTGGTGACTCAGGCCCACTGCCACTGAGGCATTTTGGCTTTGAGTTTCACAAAGCCTGAAAATATTTGGGTGACAGGCACAGTGACAGATCTGTCTAATAAGGAATATTTATTCACTGGAATTACACACTCATCTTTCTGGTTTCAAAAATTATTTTAAGGGGGGGGAACCAGTTTCCTGTAACCCATTAATAATTTGATTACTGGTAGACGTTATCACAGAGTACTTGGTGCCCTATAAACAGCGCTACCTACCAGCAGGTTTGCTATTTTTAATAAGTATGTTATCTTCTGGGAAAAGTTTCCTTCTCTCAGAACGGTACCAAGAAAGCTTTAAAATCACACATGGTCTCTGTGACTGGCCCTGCCGAGTTCCCAAGATGAAAGACAGTAAAGGCAGCAGGAAGGAACAACCTCCTCAGGTTAGAAATTTACATTCCAGTCCCTAGCTGAACCCACAGACACCAGGCACAGGGTGGGAAGGAAATGTAAACCCTAAGGAGGCGACAGAACCACAGCTGTTACTCTGGGAAGAGCAATGCTGTGGGTCAGACAGGAGGCCGTGGGCCAATGGGCCCAGCTGCCCACCTCATTTACCCCACCTCTGAGAGGATCCTGGAAGTCTACCTGCTACCTGTTGGTGGTCCTCATAGTGCACAGTGCCCACATGGGGGTTCAAGGTTGTGAATGGGTAGGCGGCCACAGTGGGCTTCGCATTGGAAATGGCCCGGAGAAGCGAGGACTTGCCTGCATTGGGGAATCCAACCTGCAAGACAGGGGATGTGCTGCCATTTCCTCCGTGTGGGACAGACCAAGATCAGGGTGAGTCTCAGGATCGCAAACCACACAGGTGAGGGCACAGCTCCCATTTGAGGCCACAGGATGCCAACCGGAGAAAGGTGAGCCACTCCTTTCCTTAGGCCGGTGGCATGTCCCACCACCAGAAACCGGTTTTCCACAGCTCAGTGCTACCTCCTCCCACCTGGGGCTTTTGGTGACACCCACCATGCCAGCGTGGGCCACGGTCTTGAGCTCCAGGAAGAGTTCTCGCTCCTGCCCGGGCTCCCCCGGGGTGCAGGTAACGGGTGCACGGTTATCGTTGGCCAGGAAAAAGCGGTTGCCCTTTCCTCCTGCCCCGCCCAAAGCAGCGACATACTCATCTCCCAGGCACGACAGGTCAGCCACGACTTCGTTTCCCTCCTTCACTAAAGTGCCCAGGGGAACCTGAAAAATAATGCAGCATTTGTTGGTTGACAGGGGAGCATGAAGATAGTGGAGAGACTAGGTGTGTTTTCCCAGTTTTGGAGGGGAGTGTGTGCGTGGGTACAGCAAGGTGCCCCTCTATAGAGCCACAGGGCTCCAGAAGAAAGGTCCCAGCCCTCCAAGGATTTCATGGGGCTGATGACACCCCTGTGAACTGCATGGAAGGCTTTTCAAACTGTTTCTAACAGACTAGGTGAACTGAAACATCAGAATGCTGAGCTAACCTGAGAACAGTAACCTCCGAGCTCAGAGAGCCAGAGAGGGTGGGGACAGAAGGCGGCTCCTGGGCCCAGATGAGATTAACAGGGGACCCTGCGGGTTCTCTCTTTGTAAAATGTAATGATTTTGTGATTTTTTTGAACTGGTCACACACAAACATGGTATAAAATCAGTATGAAGTCTGAGCCAGGGTTTGCTCTGTGGGAGATGGCTGCATGGTTCAGGCCACGGGCCTCCTGTGGACCACAGCACAGAACCTGAGGAGCCTGAAGGTCTAGACTTGAAGACAGGATGGGCTCTGCAGCTGGGGCTTACCCGGACATAGAGGAGAGCGCCACTCCGCCCAAAGCAGTTTTTCCTGCCACCGTCTTCTCCATCAAAGCCCTGGTACTGGGACAGGACTGAGGACAGTGACTTGACTTGCCGGTCAACTAAAAAAAGTGAGAGCGAGAACCTTCATGTTCCTTTGTGTTAAAAACAAAAATCTGCTCCACTTGGGCTCAGAGGATGAGCATCGACCCATCAACCTGGGGGTAATGGTTCAATTCCTAGTCAGGGCACATGCCCGGGTGGTGGGCTTGATCCCCATTAGGGGTATGTAGGAGGCAGCCTATCAATGATTCTCTTTCATCATTGATGTTTCTATATCTCCCTCTCCCTTCTTCTTCCTGAAATCGATAAAGACATATTAAGAAAAAAATCAGCTGCATACTGCATTCCTTTTGTCCAGTTTAGGAACACTAGGAATGTACATGGAGACAGAAGTTACTAAAGTAGCAACATGCTATTTTAAAAAGCTATAAATTCTTATTTTAAAAATACTACAGTTTCTGAAAAATTGTAAATTACCCATAATGTCATTAATTTAAAAATAATTGCCCTAGTTGAGTTGGCTCAGTGTTAGAGTGTCAGCCTTCAGACTGAACGGTCTTGGGTTCAATTCCAGTCAGGGGCAGGTACCTCAGTTGCAGGCTCGATCCCTGGCCCTGGTCAGGGTGCATGTGGGAGGCAACCAATTGATGTCTCTCTCATATCAATGTTTCTCTCTCTCCCTCTCTCTCTGAAAAGAGATGGAAAAAATATCCTTGGGTGAGGATTAAAAAAAAAAATTGCTACACTTTATTATGTTGTGAATGTTTATAATTTAAAAATAGCTATATTTTACTGCTGGGGTATTTACCCACTTTTCAGTTTACTGAGCATCTGTGCTCAAAACGTGCTGAGTAATCAATACCCTCTAGACACTTACTGAGACAGTAAAACACACTTACCCTCTGACTATCTTACTGTAATGTCAGGTTTCCCGACACTAAGGTATCTCTGTAATTAATAAGAACAACCCACTATCGAAGCTGGGCTTTGCCACATTACTTAGATGTGGGTACTCACAGAATTTAGTAAGGAAAACGCATCCATTTTTGGATTCCCACTCCTGTTAGGATAAGAAGGCAGAAACGTTCTGTCCCAACATGAGCGGACACAGCAATCTTGCCCAAGCTGCCCCCAGGGCACCTGCCTCTCAGGATAACATGGCCACCGTTGCCTCCGTCGCCACCATCAGGGCCCCCGAACTCCTTCCGGGGCTCGCTATGGAAGCAGCTCACCCCATCGCCTCCACGTCCCCCTCGGACAAGCACCCGGCGATGGTCCACAAAATGCCTTTTCTGCAGAGAGCACAGTGCCCAGCTCATCATTAATGCCACAGTCCTCTAAGAGCCAAGTGGCCCTTTAAACACACATTCCTACCTACAGTGGTCTTTAAAATTAGATGTTAATGATGTTACTATCCATAACCTCTCCTAAAACGCAAATGTAAAAAACAGTTCCCAGCAAATGTGAAAACTGGTTGATATGGAAAACACACTCAGTGACAGACTCAACATGTCCAGCTTGAGGAAACAGGGTTTAGAAAACACTCCTGCAACAAAGCGTCTTTCCAGCTTTTTTCAAACAGAAACGGGTTACTGAAGGATGTTTTCTGCAGACTGACTGAATAGGGCTCGTTTGTAAACATAGCGAAGCAGACAGAGCCCCTTATTGGAGGGCAAGTCTCTCTCCAGGTCCCCAAGGGAGCAACAATCCAGCTAAAGAATGGAAACAAAGCAGGTTACTGTTTAATAGTTATTTGCACACCCAAGTTCAGCTACCTGAGAAGCCAGGGTCATCCTGTCCCAGGACCCAGCCTGCTTCCTACGCTATGTGCAAGGACAGACTGGCCAGTACCGGGCCCCTCCACCCACTACCTACTCATACGCAGATCTTTTTTTTAAGAAAACATAAATATTTTAAGATTCTTTGGCACCACCACATGGAAAAAACCATAAATTACTATTTTTAAAAACTCAATGTATAACTTCATCGTATGCCAACATCATCAAAATCCACCTGATGGGGAAAGCAGGCTGAGGAGCAGAGTGGAGGGTAAAGCCAAGCTCCACTTCCACAGGCGGGGCAGACAGTGCTATGGAAATTGCTCTGCCCCTTGGCGGTGTCCCCACAGGAAGCTCTGCTGACCAGGAACCCTGCTTAGGAAGAAACGAGGTGAGGCTTAAATACGGCTTCTCTTGAATTTAAGTAAAGCTCACTCGTGTTGTACATAAGTTAGGAACATCTGTGACACAGGCGGAAGGCTCACAGGCCGCAGGGAAAGAGTCTCGTTGTTACCTCTAGCCCCTTCTCTTCAAGGGCTAGTTTCTACAAGAGCTCAGGCCTCCCTTTCATTTCATCATTTTCAAGACCTACCTGTGCCCCTCTGAGAACATAATCAGGGTAAATGAAGACATGATAACCAGAACTCAAGACAAGGTCCTGTGAGAGGGAAGCTGCGGACAAGTTCCTTCCCGGTTAGAAGTCTCACCAGTTTTTTCTCGGAGAGCAGTTTCTTTCTGGAAGGTTCCTTGGCGCAGTCTGCACAGCCAAGTGAGAGCAGCTTGGGGAAAGCATGCTGCAGGAGGAGCCGGCCTAGGACTGCCTGTGGGGACAGAGTCCAGCGCCCCAGGCCCTCAAATGCACCTCGCTGTCCCGCTGAGAAAAGCCTCGAAGGTATCATGATTCCCTAAAAAAAGTAAAATTGGCAAAATGAGGTTCCTGGTTTCATGTGAACATCAAACAAACCAAAATCTCCATATATATGTTCTTGAAACAAGTAAACTAATGCCTGTGACTTTTCCCCATCATCCACCACACTGGACCCTGAGTCATGAGGAGTTACCTGTCCCGTTGGCCTACATGCTACCTGAGGGCGAGATTTGTGTACACAGGGTTTATCATTAAACCTCCCTTGACCCTGGAAACATTCCTCCAGGGAATGTCAACTATGGGCTAAATGGAACTATCACAAAGGAAATCAGAGCCTCAAATCAAAATTCCTGAAGAATGAAAGCACCAGTTTACTCAAACACTGCACTGTTATCTTGTGCAGTTTAAATGTCAAACTGGAGATGGAAGAGCTCTTCCGAACAGTGCATAGGTAGAAGAAATCAACAGAAAAGTTACAAAATATCCTGACCTGAGTGATCATGAATGACACTACAACATAGCAAAGCTTATGGGATGCAGCTAACTGAGCGCTCAGGGAGAACTCACAGTCACCTGCCTCTATCCACGGGGGACACAGGGGACACGTGTCAAGACCCCCTGGATAGTAATGAACCCTACAGATACTATGTTTCTTCCTATAGTACATACCTGCGATAAAGTTCAATGAATAGATTAGACACAGTAAGGGATTAACAATAAGATGAACCATTGTAACGACATGCTGTAATAAGTCATGTGATGGTGGTGTCTCTCTCTGTGACACCGAGGCAGCTACTGAGTGACTAACTGGCAGGGCACGGAGTGTGGAGACGCTGGACAAAGGGACAGTTCACGTCTCGGGTGGGATGGAAAGGGACGGCAGCAAGAGGTCTCATCACACTGCTCAGAACTGCGTGTGATTTAAAGTTATGAATTGCTTATTTCTGAAATTTTCCATTTAACATTTCTAATGTTACCTGACTGCAGGTAACTGAAACCACGGAAAGTGAAACTGTGGGTCAGGGGGAGCAAGCGTAGCCATAAATGCTTCTGTTAGTAAAGAAAGATATAAGCTCAGTGACGTGAGGTTCCAAGTCCAGAAACCAGGAAAAGAGCAGAGAACACAGAAGGAAGGAAACAATGGAGGGTAGAGGTGGACCTAACAGGTAAGTGGCAACAGATACCGCAGTGTAGCCCAGACACATGCGGGAGCCAGGGGAGATGCTGGTCACGTGGTGAGCAAGCGGCAGAGACAGGGTGGTTAAGCTGCGAGACAAGGAGCACTTGGGTGGCCGCAGCCACCACGGAGATGAGGCTCTGCCTGCAGTCCCAGAGGGCGCGGGCCCTGCTGACATGTGACTTTGGGCTTCTAGCCTCCAGAGCAGCGAGGGGATAGACGCCTGTGGTTTTAAGCCGCCAGTCTGTGGTTATCCAGCTACCCTACGAAGCTAAGACCACGCCCAGCTCAACAACTGATGGAATGATTTGCTTATGCTTGTTTCTTGTAAATGGGGACATAACCGGCACTTAACCTTGCAGGATTGTGAGGATTAAGCGAATTAATGGTGTGAAGCCTAATAAACAGTAAGTGCTTAAAAAAAAAAAAAAAAAAAAAAAAGGAAGGAAGCAAAAGCAGAGCGGACAAACTTCTCACTAGAGGGTCAAGAAAGGACACAGCCCTGGCCAGTGTGGCTCAGTAGATAGAGTTGGTGGAGCAGGGTCGCAGGGTCGATTCCCGATCAAGGGCGGGTGCCTGGGTTTTAGGTTTGCTTCCTGCCCCTGGTGGGCATGTGCGGGAGGCAACCAGTGGATGTGTCTCTCGCTCCATGCCCCCCCTTTCACTCTCTGAAAAGCAACATCCTCAGGTGAAGATTAACAAAAGAATAAAAATAAATAAAAGGAGAGGAAGAGAGCACAATCACAAGGCTGGGAGCACAAACAGCCACCCCACAAGCCCTGCAGGCACAGGGCCAGAGGACCCAGGCGGCCTGCCGCCACCTCATCGAGCTCCTAAAAGAAGCACTTACCACAGAGACACAAGGAGAAAGAAACGGAACCACAAAGAAGAGATAGGAAACCTCCACCACCTGCAACCACTAAGGGGCTAAACTTGATGAATTTGAAAAGAATGTTCTCAAAAGAAAACTCCAGGCTCAGGCTGCTTTGATGGCAAATTCTGTCAAACATTCCAGGGAAAAGGAACAGGAATCTCACGTGAACCTCTCCAAGAGACAGGACTCGAGCCGCACCAAACCAAGTCATGAGGCCAGAGGAGTCCCAGGACCCAGATCTGATATCATGGGGAAGGGATCAGGTCCCCATGACCCTCATGAATATAGAGGCAGACGATCCTGACAAAGCTGTGTCCAAATGTGTCAGGCACTTCACACCCGAGGACCAAGCAGGGTGACCCCTGGGACACAAGGTGTCATCAGCAATCAGATCCCACACGGGCTGTCACCCCCATCTGACAAAAGTCACACCCACTGATAAGTAGGGAAATGAAGCATGACTGGGACTAGAAGGGGACATCATCAACCTGACAGAGGCCACAGCCGACACCATGCTGACTGGGGAAGGACGGAACTGCCGCCTGGGGATGGAAAGGCAAGGATGCCTTGCCCACCACTTCTATGCAACACTGTCTTTTAGACACTACAATAAAGAAATTTTTTTTTAAAAAAAGGAGAGACAAAATGTAGGTCTGATTGTTTCCATAGAAATCTACAAAACCTGATTAGAATTAATCAGTGAACTGAGCAAGGTTGCAGGTTACAAGGTTAATACACAAAAATCAATTGTATTCTTATATACGAACAGCAAACAACTGCATTGGCAGTAACATGGGATGGGCAGAGGTGGAGTGTGAAAGTAGGTGGTTAAGGAAAATAAAAAACAACTCCCAATAACCAACACCCAGCTAAGCCCACTGGGAGCAACGCCATCCCTGCCAAGGTGTTGGAAACTAAGCTTCCCTGCCCTGGCAACACGAAACCTGAAGGTGGACCGCAGAGGAGGTGATCAGTGGCAAAGCCAACCAGGCCTGACCTCTCTGCCTGGCCTAATTTGGAGTACTTCTCCCCTTTCAATTTCTGGTTGGAAAACCCACTGACCTTGTACCTGCCAGGTAAGCTATTCATCTGTGTCTCACACTGTTACATGGTCTTCATTTTCCTTCTAATGCAGTACCTGGCTGTCCAATAAGGTACCCACTAGCCACGTGTGACTACTAAGTTTAAATCAATTAAAATTTTTAAAAATGTAAAAACTCAGTTGCTCACTCACCTAAGCCACATTCCAAGCACTCACAGCCACATGTGGCCAGTGGGTACCAAACTAAACAGGATAGATGGGAACGTGTCTGCCACCACAGAAAGTGCTACTGGACAGCACTAGTCTACCCTGGTGGTTTACAATGTACAAATTCAGAACAGTGAACTCAAACTCCTCTCGTTTACTGGGCCAGGTGACTGGAGTACAAAAGGCAAGACTGTGAAAGCACTGGGGACAGACATCCTGGGATGGGGCTTTAGAAAGACTGGAGAGCCAGGTGGCAAGGGCTACACTTTAGACATTGCTACTTTGTTCCATCAAGTGTCAAGCTCAGTTCTACTGGGCTATGGGAATTATTATTTGCCAGGAACCTCTGCTAAAACCTCATATGGAAATTTTTATATTTACTCCTTACAACAACTGTGTAAGGGGGCAGTAGTGCATGCGGTGTATTTTGTTTGCTTTTCCAGACCCACTTTAGACCTCGCTACTTCAAGGGAGTGCCCTGCCTGACTCCCCTTAGCTACCTCTGGCAGAGACTAAAGGGAGGAGCAGGAGGCCAGGAGGGTGACCTCCCTGTCCCCCTCGAATCCCTAGACGGAAGGGGAGCCCTCTTTGCACTGCTGTCCTCTGTTACTGACCCTCCCCTTATGCTGGTGTGGAAGCAACTCCACTGTAGCTGCTCCAGGTCCAAACACCACCTCTACCATTTCCCTACAATCTCCCTTTAAAAACTCTCCTTGCCCTGGCCGGTGTGGCTCAGCGGTAGAGCACAGGCCGGCCCAAGGGTCTCCAGTTTGATTCTCGGCCCACGGCGTGCATCTGTGTTGGTTTGTTCCCCCATGTAGGAGGCAACCAGTGATGTCTCTCTCTTACATCCATGTTTCTCTCTCCCCCCACCTCCCTCCCTTCCACTCTCTCCAAAAAATCAATGGAAAAAATATCCTTCCGTGAGGATTAACAAAACCAACCAACAAACAAACGAAAAAACCCTCCTTAAACTACTCTGTGATAGGGCCACGATTCCTCACCCTTACATCGCTTATGCCCGTTTTGAAGCAGGGAGGCTGAGGCTAGGGGCTAGGAGGCTTGCCGAAGGCGCACGTGCCCTCTGGCCCTGCTGGCGGGCGCGGGCCTGGGCTTCGCCCCCAGGCGGGGCTGCCCACAGCCCCGGGCAGCGCCGAGGGACCAGCGCTGCGCTGCTGAACTGCTGTGTTCTCCCCTAAAACACGTCCGAGTGCGCCTGCGCGGGAAAGGGTCACGGCCCGCCCCCCGTGGGGCCCGCGGCCGGCGTCGGCTGTGGGCTGAGGGCC